AGACACATGGTTACTATTTATAAATTAACTTGATAAAAAATGATGATACTACAAAATTAACACTGAAAGATAGCGTAAACTTCGACATTTTTCACTGTTATTAAATCAATCAATAGATAGCACTCTCGACTTTTCAGTAACACATAAGTATTAATATTTTTTCAATAAAGAAATTAGTTTGAATATTTGTTTAAATGTATAGTGGCTATGAAATATTAAGTAAATATTTAACAAATTAGTACTTTAGTTATTTATTAAAGTACTATTTAGTAAATATTCAGTAAATAACGTAAATATTTATTTAATTATTTAAATGAAGACACTTCTTGAATAAACATAAGTAACATTAAGGAAACATTAAAACAAAGTTTAAAGGAATTGTAAAGAATATATGTAAATACTCTACCTGCAGAAGAATGGTAAAATACGTGATTTCATATATGTATATATACCAACCTAATAAAGTTATAAATGCTACATTTCATCTGTACGAACCTAATGTTAGCTTTCGGAGGAAAAAAGTCTCGACATAAAGAGTAATGTTGTCTAGAATGAAGCGTTTAGGGTGCAGAAAGATGTAAGGAGGAACTCTAAAAAAATTATCTCTCTTCCAAACGATATCATCACGAGTCAAGTGGGCCGTTTGCCGTATTATTACGCCGACGTCTGGCAAGATACTTGAACCAAGATTCGTGACATTATGGCGAAGTGTAGCCTCGAGTATTGTAACGCCAAAGTGTTCTTTCGCCAAGCACGGCTTGCGAACAATAATACATGATGAACCTGAATAGTTGTTCCACGAATTTCTGCGTCAACATATCGTCGTTTTTATGCTTGACGATAATGAACTTATACAGGGTAAAACACGTAATTTGTCGATTTTAAATTATTTGTAAATCACTTACTGCACAAAAAAATATTTGTAACAAAAATTGCACAGTTTCAAGGACGGCATATGTTAGAATAATTATTTTTCTCTATATTGTTTATAAATAAACACCTTTGATGTTTATTTAAGGAAAGTAAATGAGTATTCAGGACTGAGTATATGTATAAGTATTAACGCATAATAGGTCTAAAGTGGGCGTTTCTTAAGGTATTTACAATGAAATATTTATTGTAAAAAGTGTTTTACTGAATTATGTTAAACCATCAACGATTTCCGAAAACATGCAAGAACCATCATTAGTGCCCGTGCAAAAGTCTCTAGAAGTACATTAAAAAATATGTATGCGCCATATATCGAACTACATATTATTATAGATGTCTGTATCAACAACAACAACCAACACGATTTACGATAAAAATTTCATTGTAAATATATGAATAAATACCCACTTTAGACCTATTATGCCTTAATGTTCATTCACAGAGTTTTTACTGTCCATTTGATTTCCATAAATAAAATAGGATTTTCCATTTTAAAAAACCAAGATGACCTTCAAAACTTTATGTCCAATAAATATATAAAACAAATGATTATTCTAACATACGTGCTCCTTGAAATCATGCAACTTTTGTTTTGATCATTTTTTCGTACAGCAAGTAATTCAACGAGTAATTCAAAATCGCCAAGTTAGGTGCCTCATCCTGTGTACTTTTCAGTATACATACCACAAATAAAAGAGGTTACACTAATTGTAGGTCGTAACAATTTCATCTAATTGTTTTTTTGTATTTTATCTTATATAGGTTTATCTTTTTTATCTCATCTTATATAAACAATTTATCTACTAAAGAAACGTTACCGACTAAAAGTTTAAGATTACCTGAATTGCTACCTTCCTGTTACAGTAAAAATTTACTGGTAACTAAAGATTAAATATTTTACAATCTATCGTTGACCCACCGAATATACATATTTGACAATCATTGTATGATGATAACTTTTCAATATTCCGCGTGTTCCATTGCATTCATTCACATTCTTATAGACTAAACTAATAATCCAATTTATAATCATTAATTTGTAGATACCAATAATTAGATAAGAAGTAATGTATTTTTTAAATAATTACATGTGTATACAGGGTGGGACAATAACTATGTCCACTTTGAATATTGCCATTATTTGTAATAATATGAAAAAATGTTATACACAAGACTTACACGGTATAGAGGGGGACATATTGTGACACAAAGATTTTCTGCGTGGGTGAAGGTATAGAGGAGATTTCAAGGTCATCTCTATTTTTTTTAATGGAATGCTATGTGTTTTTATCGCGATGTGATAGCCGGTGTTGAGACGACTTCAGCGAACTATCATTGAAGGTCATGCAAGGTCAAATGTGGTAGGAAAATAAACTTTCTTACATTACAGGAGATGCAAATCTTCGTGTCGCTGCATCACGTGCGTGTCTTATCGTTCTTGACGTCAAGCAATAGTACGTATGCAAGTACCAGACAAATTGAAAAACTCGATTTTCTCGAAAATTGAAAACTCGTATAAACAAATTTTAGTATTTCAGTTCCTTTTTTGCACGAAGAGGATCTCCTTTTCGGTTGTACCGCGATTTAATGAGCACTCGTTGCATTAAAAATTGTATAATAAATTGCTTCCTCAGACAAGATTTTTAAATTGTATATAATAATTTTATCTTTCCTATTACGTAAAAAATCTGGAACAGTACCTTTAATCGATAGCGTGTACTATTTGATAATGTAGGATGCACAACCTGCAAAGAATGCTCGTTAATCTTTGTGTCAACCTGTCCTATATAATGAACGAGATTTTTTAAATCTAGTTAAACATTAGTCGTTTCCATGGAACCAAGATTACCGGTGTACTCTATTTCTCATGTGAAACGACAATTTCATTCTCGATCGCGAACTTCTTTGTTGGAAAACGGGAGCGTTTCGATACACGTGGAAACAGTGAATAGGTTGTCCGTTGAATGGCACGTCTATCGGGATAAACAAGCGGGCAACATGCTTATCCCGGATTTCATACGTTTGCTCTCGCCTACGCAAATAAACGACGTCCACAAATACGCGGGGATTCGTTCGTCCCCTGGTTCGATATTATTTGTTGGCTTCTATTTGATAGCACCACTCAGTTTCGGCGTAGTGAAAGAAACCCGTTGTTATTACTAAACATTTTAAATGAAACGAAATATTAGGGTTGAATTTTTTTTTATTATGCACAGGTCTAGGGCAGGGGTCGAAAACTGCGGCTCTTTGGGTACCTACTTACATGTGACTCTGAAGTACAATTAAAAATGAAAATACAGTCAATGAGAGCAATTTTTCTAAGATTTTTCCTTCATTTAATAAAGATATAATTAATATTAGAACGTGTTATAATGTTACTTTAAATTTTCCTTATTTATAAAAATATATTTATACGTCTGAAATAATTTTTAAATTGTTGTAAGGGACAGGTTTGGCTCTTCCGTCTTAAAAGTTTAGCGACCCCTGGTCTAGGTGATACAGAGTAGGCAAAAGGTGCTTTTTATAATCATATTTAAGGGGAGGTTCCGTGCTAGAATTTAACACTTTATCTATTGGATAAGGATTTGATAAAAAAAATTTTGCCACTTTCTCTGAACTATCCCACCAAAATTTACCCATAACTTAATCCCGCAGTCCCTACTATATGTAGAAGTTAACAGTAGTTAATTGTACACAACTCATAGAATGAAGTGCTTTCCTGTGACCATATTGTATACGTGGATCCATAGTTCCTCTATAAAGTTCAGTTTTGTGCTCTTTTTGGTACACACAATAGTTAAAGTGTTAACAAGAAATCGATTTTTGTTTCATTTTACTTTTCAACCTTTTAAAAATACGTGTTTCATTGACTCTCTTGAAATTCAAAAAATTCTCCAATGTGTAGACATTTGAGTATCAGAGAACACATGGGTTAAAGTGGTCACACTTTCATAACGGACGTCATAAAAACGGACTATTTTGTAACCACTGTCATATATTACTTGTACTGTGATCAATTACCTACTTACACCTGCATCCAATCTAAAAGTACGAATAAAGATGAACACCTTATTCGACGGCTCGAATAAATTCCGTTCGAATAAAAAAATTATCTTTTCCGACGAATAAATGTCCTTGGAAAAAAAAATTACTTTTCACTTTCGAATAAATGTATTTCGAAAAATTTGTATTCGAAAATTGGTATTTCGAATAAAGATGAATCAAGTTATTCGAAATTTCGAATAACGGATAAAAATTAATTATTTTTTGTCCGAGTTTATCTAGATTATAATTGTTCACATGTAGATTATATTTTATTCGCTCATTGAAGCGATACGAAATCATGTTATTTAACTGCAATATTATGAAATACCAAACCACTAACCAATGCTTACAAACGTAACGAAGTTGTTAGTAAACACGAGTAGATGTAGATACAATGTTGTTAGATTGCAGTTAAAATATCTTTTAACACTAGAACTACCGACGATAAATGCACATTTGCTTCGATCGGCGGATAAACGTGAAAAACTTTTGAAAATTTAGAAATTTAGAAATTGACTAATTTCTTCACTTTCATATAGTAATGAAAGGTGCAAAAGATCTGAGAAAATGTATTGTCATAACATTTTAATCGTCGTTGTAAGAGTGTTTTGACAAGTCATCTTGACTTGCTTGGTACTTCTAGTATTAAATTAATCAGTTCTCGCCATAAATACCTTAATCCTTTTTTTTTAAGAAAATACATATTTTTACTTAAAAATTTGGAGGTGACTTGAAATCTCTGAAAATTCTCCATTTTCGAAGAAGACACATGCACTTTATGATGCATCACAGAAGACCGTTTAAATTTACCTAATGAAACTTTGTTCCACCTTCTACAGTCACACGTGACGAATAGATCATGTATAATCATAGCTTGAGGTGTTCGCAACACGTAAAGGAAGTTACAAGAATCGACCAAATTTACCACGACACTTTACGAGAAGACAGAAGCCGGTGGTAGTATCTCCAGTGCATTATAGCCTCGGGAGCATGAAGCGTGTAAATTAAAGTGCAGGGTCTCTTACCATAAGGGACGCATTTCGGGATAGGATGATTCCAACCGTCGGCGGTGCAAGTCAGTATTTTATGGCCCTTCAATCTACGGCCTGGTTCACACGAGTATACGGTCTGCAGAGTGCCATCTTTAAGGACCCTCTCTCTCACCGCGCCCCACTGAGGCGGCTGCACCAGGGGGCAGTTCCCGAGAACTCCTGAAAGTCGAACAAGCAGACCTTTAATCATAGAGAAGCTTTATAGTTTACCTACAAAAATCGTAAAAATACTCCGAATTACGCTACGTTACTGCAATCAACAGTGAAACTGCGTAATCAAATCAGCACGTTGAAGTGGTCACAATTTCTATAATACCATAAAAATATATTATTCTTCTTCAGAGAAAAGATTTGATAGTAATACAACTGAGGAGTCCAGGGGACAAACGATCATAGTAAGAAAAAGTAAATTTTCAGTATTCGAAAAACAAATTTTGTGACCCCCCCCCCCCCCCCCCCCGCGCTGTATACGATTCAAAGTCAATAATCGTCTTTTTTATAATGGATTTCTGAATATGTTTAAGAACATTAAACGTTCTTAAAAAATCCGTTCATAAATTTTGATGAAAGTAAAATTTTGTTTTTATGTTCTGAACTTTGATCTAACGTTGTTGTAATAAAAGAACCCGTATCGACTTTGATGATTTATCTCTAGACAACATTTTTTTTCCGTTAGGGGTAAATAATAAGTAAATTAAATAGAAGAATTCGTGATTCTACTCGTAGTGTGCGTACTGTATCATTTAAAATCATTGAGTTGAATTTTGATCATTCTTTCATTAGAGATATGTGATATTGCTCGTTCTTCCCTGAACACAGAATTTATTGGTTCTTAATTTTTCGGTACTGTGCCTTTTTTTTTATTAGACTACAGTTTCATGGCATTCCGTAAGCTCTGCCTTTTAAAAAATCTGGAAAATATTTTTTTTCCATGATTGTCGCCATTTTGTAAATTTTGAAGATAAATCGTTAATTTTAGCGATAGCGACAGTCATACTAATCGAGAATCCGTTTGGATTTTTCGTTTCAGATAAGTCTATCAGAAGGACCTGCGTAGCGAGGCATCACGGTTTAAAAATTTTATCAAGACCGCTTTTAAAATCATCTTAAAAACATTAATTTTATTACTTTTACACGTTTTACATACTACAGAAATGTAGTTCAATAAATAGAAAAAAATTTGATACCATTATTATATTTCTTTTCTTCGAAATAAATTCCCGAGGAACGCGTTACTTTTTGACGAGCAAATTAGAACGACCCCTTAAAAGTAACCGAAACGCGCAAACGATTGTTTTGTTCGCATCATCAAAATTTTGTTTCATTATTAAATTATAAGTATGACCAAATAGAATTGGTTCTTTTGATCTTGTGAAAAATTACTTTTTTGCTGTAGAGTCATTGTTTTTGCAGAACAGTGATATCCAACAAAAAAAATCAGTCATTTCCTGTAGTACAATTTAAAACCTTTTGAGGGTTCATTCTAAACGAAATTACCAGATATTTCCAAACGTCTAGATTGTACAAATTCAATAATCCCATCATGACATGTTATGTGATTAATACTGGCACCCTACATAGCTAAGAGGCAAAAGTTCGAAATCGGCTAATCGCAAGAGTCCCGCGAAGTTACGAGGCAAGAGGGTCGTAGTGGTCATGGAGTCACCAGGTGGTCTTCGACGAATGCTCGCTAAATAGAAACGAGCCTTCGACTCGTAAATCGTGGCAGGTAACGACCTTCGCTTTGGGGATGCGCTGATTAGCTTTTGATAAGCGAAGACATCAGTTCTAACATTTCTACGACCTACTGCGTGGATCTTTTGTCAAAAAGACTGGTTGTCTCTTTCTTATTCACTGCTTAAGGGGTCATGCTCAGTCAGGAGGCCAAAAAAAGAGTGTTCTTTAGGAATTTTTTTCTCGAAAACTATAAGACCTTTTTCAAAAGATATGTTTGTGTTTCAAAGATTGTAGTTTCTAGATTATAAGGTAATTTTTTTATTTAAAAATATTTATTAGTAAATAAATGGTGAGCGATCTCTCGGATGTCTCTTCACAAAAAGTGGTCTGCCGTGGTCACTATAATTTCGTAACGGTTGAATTGAAATTAAAAATTCGGTAAGATTTATGTAATGGAAGAACGAATCTTGTCCTTGAACGAAGGATTTTTCGAAATATTGATTAGGAGTAACATGGCGAACATTTTACTGAAAGAGTGCAATTTTCACCTAAAAAATCACTCGTTTTTGGTCAATTAAAAAAAAAGTATGGAACGAACAAAAGAATCCTTCGTTCAAGGACAAGTTTCTCTGATTTGAAATAAGGTACAAAAGGCTTCATGTAAATCGACACAGTAGTTTTCGAGAAATATTGATTACCGATTTGAAAAATATAAGTTTTTCTGATTTGAAATAAGGTGCAAAAGGCTTCGTATAAATCGACACAGTAGTTTTCGAGAAATATTGATCACTGTTTTGAAAAAAATAGTATCGAGAGAAACGTGTTTAAAGTTTCAAGTCAAGCTTACACTTATATAAAACGTTCATTTTTTAACGCCTGTAACTCTGTCATTTTTAATTGGATTACCTTGAAACTTGCACAGAATATTCTCGAGATGAACTTAAAGAAAATGTTGAAAGTGAAAAATCGATTTTTTGAAAATTTCTGACTGAGCATGACCCCTTAATGTTACACATTGTCCCAATTCGGTACAAAGGGTATAGCAGGATAAGGGGATCAAAAGTGCCCTTAGACCGATTTGGTTCTATGATACATGATTCGATAGCTTATAAAAAAAATAACCTGTACCAAGTTTCAGACCTCTACCTATCTCAACCAGCAGGATAGTAACAGGGAATATTCGGATAATCCGTTTTCCCTCTATTTTCCTCTATATTCCCCCTATCATTTTGCGATTTTTTGGTGGAGAATCCTAGTTGTAAAACATCAAAAACGTAAAAAAATACTGAAAAAAGTTCTTTTCATATATAAATCTTAAAGCGACTTTAATTCCTATAATTGGCATACCGCTTTGCTGAATATAGAAATAGTTAAAATCATGTACTAATATACTCACTTAATAAAGGTAATACAAATGTTTAAAGTATAAGTTATTTTTACTCGGAAAAATACATTAAAAAAATAGGTTTTTGATTTTTAAAAGTGCAGCGCACCTTACCAAAAAATCTTTCAAAAAGTCAGAACAATACTCATGACAATGCATCGCTAATATAATTATATAAACGTAGTCGCTTTACGATTTATATAAGAAAAAAACTTATTTGAATATAACAAGTGAAGTTGCAAAAAATCGTAGAAATTTTACATTGTTTAACAAGCACTAATACTTTGTTACATGATTTTCCTCAGAAATGCATTGGTGTGCTTGCAAAGTGCGATCGCACTTTGTTCTCACGAAACCATATGATTCTGTTTTTAAAATAGATTTTATCAAATAAATTAGGCATTCTCAAAATAAAAAATTTAAAATGTATTGAATGTAATTGTAACTTTATGAGATATTTCATTTTTGTAGAAAACATACAGTAAGTGCTCAAACGTTTCACCATTACATTCTATATATTTTTTATGTTTCTTCACATTTTCCATTATACTGTTTAGTTATTCAGCATTCATATTTAAACAGTTACTCTTATTTATTTCCTATAAGTCACCTATCGAAATAAAAGGTTGCGAATTCAACTTATTTTTCATATAATCACGCACGAAACAATCCTGGGGATTGTAATCAAGCGAAGGTGTTCACCCAGCCGTTGCACTGTGGGTGTCAAACCATTCATCTCCATGTGTTTCTGTTAAGTATCTTATTACGATTCGGACGTAATGAGTCGGTGCCCCGTCTTGCTGATAGTATTTTAAATTACATCGAAATTGTAATGGAATATCATCAAGCAAGGAGAGCAGTGTAAATTAAAAAAAATGCCGATATCGGTCACTGTTTAAAAATACGAACCTACAGGGCTGATAAGTATTTGGTATAAAATTTTGAAAAAGAAATATGAAATATTTTGTAAAGTTTTAAATTTTTAATGACCGTATTTTACACCTTCTATTCGCAGAATGAATTTTCTTATTAGAAAAGTGCAATTGCAGTTTGCAAGCGCACAGATGCACTTGTGAGAAAAGTCGTATCGTAGAATACTAGAGCTTGTTAAATAGTGCAATTTTCATCCACGATTTTTGTATAACTTTGCTTGGAACAGAGCTATCACATGATCCAGGTTCTAGAATCACCCTGTATGCAGTGTAATTAAATTTCTGTTTTAATTTCGTTTTATTATAACACCTATTTACAATGCTTTCCTTGGAATGTGATGAAGCATTCCAACCTCGAATGAGAAAGGTCGCGATTACAATTAACGACTGCGAAGATAATCTACAAGAACGTCTTATGAAAGTCTGATATCTCTCTGAAGAAAACGTAAACTATCGGGAAATTAATGAACTACTTAGCAAAGCACGGAGTTTAGTAGTAAATTCGATAAAAAAGATCACAGTGAATGCCTTTGATAATATCACTGCTGATTGGTTGCATTTGCTTCGAGACAAGTAATCGATTAAAACATCTGCTTAATGAACGTCCATTGCTTGATGCTGTTCAAAGTAATTTGAAGCCAATTTATAACGATATTGAAAACAATAATCTATTGTAAAGGTGTATAGGGGAGCACTGACAGAATAGTAACAGATGTTTCAATGTGTATGGAAAAGCGATAACCATTCTTTCATCGACATTCTTTATGGTTATTGAGCAATTGCTCGACATGAATCAGTTCTCCTCATTTTCCATAACTTCTGGTGATTGAATTTCCTGTCGATAAAACGAAATGAAATCCCTGTACCAACTTAAGTACTTCGGTCATTACTAGACTAGTAGGATGTTTATGTAAATAACGACCATTAAGTACTAATTTACAAGTACTAGAATGAAACAGAAATTTGTTTACTGTGTTAAAGGTTTAGTGGGTTCCGAATGAGATAAAAATTGCATTAAACTTTATCGAATTATGTCTTATATAGAATTTTAAACAAACAATTATTGTATAAACATAAAATAGCTATAGCAAAAATGGCATAAAGAGCTAATAATTTCTTATTCGTGAACGAACACTTTTATTCAATTCTATGAATGACGGAAATATTGAGATCCATTTTTGGACGGAAAGTAGAATA